TGTTTCTGACAGACAACATACATCAATACAGAGGGAATCCAGCGTACGCGCAAGAGCCACCCGTTGATCTGCTTGCTTCAGTGTGCGAACATTGAAGGTGGCTAAGTAGACAGGCTTTCGGGGTTTGAAAACAGACTTCGAAGTGTTTTGGGTTGTAACTGAACTCGGACGTGCAGGGGCTGCAGCTGAGTGTGATGCAGGGCGAACAACACGGTCAGTCCTAGAGCTGGGACCAGCGGAGAAAGTATTCGAATTTGGGTGGGGGAGGGTGGAAGAGGGAAAACGTGAAAGTGTAAGAAGGGAGGCGTCAGCAGTAGCATGTTTTCGCTTACCCGCCCTGCTGTATGCAGCAAGTAAGGCGACCCGGCTGATGGCACCACGCGACGGCCGAGGTGGCATGAGAATATTGTTAGTTGTATAGGTCATGGTTGTACGAGGGCTGGGATACTGCCAGGGCGCCCACACCTAGACAGGAGGACGATTAGGGTCCTCATCCAAAGCCTTTGGCTCAAAAGCCTAACCGCAAGGCAGCGGTGTTCGGCTGGAAATGCAAGTACATTACCTTTTTTTTACGGAACACGTCGCCATACATTTTCCAACCCCCAACCTGGAGGGCCAGGAGATTGTGTTCGTCGGACCTCTACCCATGGACCAACCTGGTATGAGAGACTCTGTGAGCATCGTGGGGACACTCCCCAGTATAGCTCAATGGGTCGCCGAGGTACACAAACCGCCACACCACGATAAGGTCGAGTCTCCTCGTGACATCTCTATGGCTCAAACACAGAGCTGTTTACCAAACTTGGCTTCTCACAGGAAAATGGACAATATTTGATCGTTAAGGATATGCCCTAGTAAGTTAATGATAGGGTAAACAGAGGACGATATTAAACGAATTCAAGGAGAAAACGACTTGTTCAAAAATAGCTATTTTGGCCAGTTGTAGACATGGAAAGCATGACATTGAAGTGTACACCTAACCAAGTTCAGGTTACACTTGGATTATTATAATGTTCATCCGACTACCACGGGTTGTGTTACGAATTTTCTCGACGGAATACTACTCATAAGGCTGCTGATAGCTATTCGACAGCCCACGACGGACTACAATTTTTTGGGACTCATCAGAAGGGTGCAAGCTGAGTGTGTGATGAGGTTAAAACGAAAAACACAGCACGAAAAATAAGTGATGTGTCGTCTGAAAATTTGTGCCGTTGGTCCATAAGTCAGACTACCTACCCGCCAGCTTGCTGTCTGTCTATCCGTCTACCTATGCATCTGCGCGGCTCATCGTACGTTTGCCGCACCCATTCTTTAGTAGTGAAAGGGCACAGCACGACAAACTGGACTCCTGTCAAAAGGTCCATTATACTAGACGTATTCAGTTCGTATTTCCCGGGCTATTAACAGCCATACGGGTGTTCCGTTGGCAGTGAACATGGGACCACCGAGTCTGGATCGGTGAAATTGTTTGAGTAATTTTCCAGCGATCTTAAAAATGAACATTAGAGGTTTGCAAGTTACATTTTGAGTAGTTGTTTCTTGAAGGTATTGAAGCTTTGGGTTTGGGGCTTGAATAGCAACCAGGAGTTTTGTAAAGAACATCTCTTGGTGCGATTTTCGTAGATTGAACTCAGACTGACAATGTGGAAGGCTGCTACACAAAATCGCAGTGCTTGGTATGATTTTGATGTGAACTTTCAAGATCGGCTGGACAAATAATTGGAAAATCCGTATAAAAGATGCATTCTTCACATAGCGGTTCGTTTGCTCTTCCGCGTGGGTAACCCCTATTGAGAGAAACCTATGGATAAAATGGCTGATACCGAACAAAGTTGACACCGCGTGCATGGATATCGGGTTACCTTGTTTTTCGCACACACAAGAAAAGGAAAGCAAATGCACGCTGATAACAAAGTCTTCCCCTCTACAGGCATATATTCCACCTTTCCTCTTTCTCTTCATCGACAACCTTCGTTCCACAGATCAATTCGTCAAAAATGATGCCTTTGCCTTGTACTGCTGTACTGGACATCCTAGAAGACTGACGTTATTCAAATGGCATCATCATCAACGACAGCATGACATCAGTGTTCAACACCGATGCTTCCCTGCCGTAAATTCGAATGGCGAATGAACTAAAACCTGCCCTCCTCAGCCGAAAGCTCTAAGTAACGAATTTCGGCAAGCAGGACTAACCAAGATCCTGGACACGTACCAATGAGGTATGCACTATCTTGACAACTCTACGACCATCATCCAATGCAACTAAGAACACCCGCAAATATCTGGAGGTCCTCAGGTGTGGGCATCCGGATAGTCGGCCGTCGGCAACTGGATCCCCGTGGACTATACACTATGCTCAGTAAAATTCAATGGTACCTAGAATTTAGCCGAAAATATGTATGCTCAAGTTGGCAGATCTCTACGACGAGGCATTCGAGGTAATGACAGCGTTTAACTCTTCTCCACAGGCGTTGTTGATCATTGTTTTCCGGAGCAGTTCCCGCTGAAGTATGATATGGTCCACACTGCACTCTGCAATAATCGGAACACAGCGCATGCGGAGAATAG